CCCCAAAACCCCAAAACCCCAAAACCCCAAAACCCCTCAGAACCAATCTCAGATTGGGAAATAAAATCCTGACACAGAACAAAACTAGCTCAATTTTATAAAATATTCATCTTATCAAAATTCTCTTTCTAACTCTTATTAGTAAGCGATGGGTAAGCAGTCTTAGAAAGATTGATCTCAATGTTTTTCAGGTTGAAATTAACCTCCTTGTGCTTCTGAGGTCGACGACTAGCTTTAGAACGAGCGCTATCCTTTTTATGGTTCTTATTTCTGAAAATAGGCTTTTTAACTAACGAACCAAGTTTTGGAGTAGTCTTTGTGCTGAGGAACTTCTTTCCACTTGAGTTATACACATTCAAATTTCTTGAAGGTTGTTCTCTACTGGTAGAGTTTCCTTTACGGTAAGTACTAGAGTTTCTACCTCTCTGGGTACTCAGAATCCTACTTCTTTGCGTGTTCAATTCTTTATTTCTTTGAGTAACCGACCCTTTTAAATCTCTTTCAGAAGGCATTGCTGTAAGATTCCTTACATCCCTACTGATAATGCTCTTCTCTTGCTTAAAAAACTTGTCAATAGGATGGGACTTCTTGCTTATAATAGTCTTATTTTCACTATAAAAAGTGTCAAAGCAGACATCAGGGTTTAACTGATTCCTGGCAGTATCAAGTCCAACTTTCTCTGATGTATCGAGCTGAACTTCCCCATGCTGTTTGTTCCTCTCATCATAAGTAGTCTGATGGCTTGAATTAAGGTTAGCAATATTGCTATAATAATTACTAGTGTGGTGTCTCTTGTTAATCAAGTTCCTATCTATGCTCCTAGCTGTATTTTCCTTGTGCTCATAATAAATTTGGCTCTTAAACTTTAGAGCTTGAACTTGTGTGTCCATCAAGCTGTCTTTAAACACAGTATCCTCTGAAACAAAAGGTTCGAGAGGTTGCTTCCTTGAGCTACTTTCCTTCTTCTCTTCTAGAGGACTTGGAAGTCTGTCAACTCCTTCAATTTTGGGTATTTTTGGGACATCATCAGCTTCGTCTTCGAATTTAATCTGCTGAGTTTTGATTTGTTTGCCTATAAAATGACTTCAGAATCTAACCAGAAAGACCAAGGTCGAAATCAAGGTCGTTATTGGTCCCAATAAACTTAATGTTATCAAAAGTATTTATATGGGGGTCATCCTTTTTATTTTTGATCTTGAACTGCTTCAAGCCGTTGATATCCATATTTTCGTTGATAGGAGAGAAAATCTTTGAGATTCCCTTCCTGTTCCTCCTGTACTTCTTTATTTGCAGCTTATGTTTTAGGTCAGGGATGTTCTGCTCAGCTTTTGATTTTACTAACGTCCGTTTCATTATTTTCGGAATTTTATGCTCTCCTTTTAAGCTTGGGTTCTGAGAATTAGGGTTTATCCTATTGTCTAAGAGGTTAGATAGAAAATTACAGAGTCCGAAGCTAGTTTGCTTAGCCTTCTCAAGTCCACAACTTGCTAGGTGGGAGAAGAACCCTCTTGATGCTTGCGGTCGGCCCCCAGCTGAGATTATCAAGGACTTTTTATCCCTGGTTAAGGATCTCACCTCATCTTTGGATTTCAAAGATTTCTTTGCATTAAAAGCTATAAGTTATTCGTTTTTCTCACGCCCAGCATCTGTGATGTTGTATCGAGTGGAGGGATGAACAATACTTCCACTCGTCTGGAAAGGAAATTCTGCACTCATCCCATACTTCAGAATAACATTCAACCCCTTAGACCCAGTATTCAAACAGAAAGACTTGTTCCTGAGTGTTTTGGGCTTCAAGTGTTTGTACTTATTACCTTCAAGTGATTTGATTCTGAAGCTTCAGGCCTAAGGAATTTTTCAAAAGCTTTAGCTTAATATTATCAGCTTTATTATGCATCTCCAGGAAATTAGAGTTATTCAGAAGTCGCTGAGGTTTGTGGTCCCGACCTTCACTATTAAATTACCACTAAAAATACCTAAAAACTCTATTTTGATACCTCATGTCAAAATTGGTATTAACTCTCTTCTGCTGTACACTTTCTTGCCTCTTCGTAAAATCAAAAGTCTTACTCTCCATTTCAACCCCAAGTTTCCGGTCTATACCTCAAAATGTCTCAAAATATGCTGAAATTACCTCTAAAAATAGTGGCAATGTTGCCATCATCCATCCTAACATAACTAAAATCGTTCTGGATCAAATACGCAGGGAATTCACTCGAGCAAGCGTTCTTCATAACTCTTATATTTAAAATAAATTTTCTATTTTCAATTCATTCCGTATTCTTAGGGGTTTTGGGGTTTTGGGGTTTTGGGGTTTTGGGG